CCCCCTCAACCCTAAACTTCGGACGAGTTGGGTCTGGGGCTCGGCCCTTTTCAGGATTTTTTGGGGCGGTCGGCCCTTCCCTCGTTCTGAAGTTCTGAGCGTCGCTTTCGGGTTTAGGGCTTAGGCTCTGAGGCTGGTTGAGGCTTACTTAAAGGATCATGGGNNGTTGGTATTAGGATAACTATACTTATAACTACTTGTAACCCCAATTAAGGTACTTATTACCATACTTACTAAGCCCCATGATCCTCCAAGTAGGGTCCACGGTGGAGGGGTGAAGGCTTGAGGTTTCAGGTTTGGGGCTTGAGCTTTGGGCTTTAGGGCCGGATGAAGCTTTAGGGTGGCCTACGACACCCAAACCCCCTGGCATCCGGAAACCCAGAATCCCAAACCCTCAAACCTGAACCCCCAATCCCAAAACCTGCATCCCAATCGAAACCAAAATGCGACGGTCCTTATGCCTTCGCGCTGTTGCCTTCAAAGGGCTTTGGGGCAAGTATGGTCTACCATAACTACATTTGCAACTATACGGGCCCAGTATTCAAAACCACACGCGGCCTTCCCGCTGCGACCCAGGCGAGCGCGGAGGGTCGCATCCTCAGCTCCCTGACAGTTCAAGGGTGCAGGCTTCGAGGGTTTAGCCCTAAACCCGGAACCCTAAACCCTAAACCGCGGTCTTGGATGAAGGTTTAGGGTTTGAAGGATAATTATGGATCAGGGATAAGGATAAGGATTGGGAGTATGCACGGGGCTTTGCAGGCTTACCCTGAATCAAGGGATTTTGGGCTGCGTGGAGCCGAAGAGTCCGCCCAAACTGCCCCAAGTCGAAAGCCCAAAACGCAAACCACAAACTGTCCTTGCTCGGTGCCTTTTTAGGACATAGCAAAAAGCAACCGCCTGTGACCTTGTTCTGTCTTCTTGCTTGAAGGGATTCGTAGGTGCCTTGAACAAGATTAAACGAAAATTGAACATCCTAAATCCTACACAAAGCCAAGCAATAGACCCCAAAAGCCGCACTAAACCTAACCCTAAGACCGAAACCCTAAACCGAAAAAATCTAAAAGCAGCACTATACCCAAAAGTCCGTCCTTGATCATCAAGCGCCAGCCGGCCGTCTGCACCCGTTGGTTCACACTGTGCAGCTCCTGATTCCGAAACACCGGTGATTTAGGGGTTTAAGGGTT